GTATTAACGTAACTTTATTGGTGTTTTAACCGAACACTAAAACAAATTACAACTAGATGACAACTTTACTGATGACAACATCACATGATGGAATTACCTTGTACAACTTAACTATCACATTCACACAGTGTTTCTACACTGCCATCCATAACACTCATCATATTTTGTACAGATCGGTAGTTCGCAGTGTCTGAACTTTCCACGTGCATAACCTTTTACAGGTCTAGGTGTGAGAATCGCTGTGTTGTTTAGCTGTGATCAGCGAATTGCTATCCTGATCAATATGCCGTTCGTGCCACAGCTAACCTGTGACAATATATACTGACGGGTCATGCACGAGCCAGGCCAATTACTGACAAGCATCCAATACATACCCAATCATCAGGGAAGCATCTTGTATAGCTGTCTATAATCGTACCAGCTGCCAGTTAGCCTACAGGCTTTTAATCAACATGCTCATTACAAAAAGTGACATAGATTTTTGTTCAATAGTGCCTTTCCGTTAAATGTAACATAAACCAGCATTTCAGATTCGTTCTATCCAACTGATCTGTGCACCATTAATTCAATTGTCCGATTATCCAACCAACGCTTCTTTATATTTCAGGATTATCAAACCACCACACAATCTAAAAGCTTTTATTAAATGTAAAGGCGAATACATTGACAAACAATCATGTGCAATAGCTAAAGCAATATAAAAATCTAATATTCCTTGATTGAAGAATTTTGCACGAAAAATTGGTAAACCTTATCTTATCTGGTGCTTCAAAGATTTCTAAAATCCCACCAAAAGATGAAAGCAATGCATTTTTTCACAGGATTAACGGACACAAGATTTTTCTATATTCTTTCTCCCAGGTTATTTTTCATGATTTTATGTCACCTACTGAAAACAAGCTTTAATACACTGCCAGTTCTAGTCATGTTAAATCATAATATATTTACAACATTCTGTTAAAGGTCGTTAACTGTGATGTGGGTGTTTCTACCTCAGCCAATCACCTCATTACCACTATCGATTGGTTCAGCTTATTTAGCCTTTCTCGCATACCATAGGTCATGAATCGTTCCTGACAGTGCAGACACAGGCAATATCATTAAGCTTGGAGTAGAAACATTTTACTACAAAACAATTGTTATGGAAATGACGATTACTTTCGAATCAATAAAAGACGGTTCATAGAAATTGAAATAACGTGAAATTCTAGGAGGTATGGCAACCAATCTTATTGTGAACTAGATCTAAACTAGTATTTGAACAAACAAGAGTTAACAGGGACTGAAGGAGAAAGTATACAACATAAAATTCATTATTTAAGCCATAATTGCATTGGGTGCATAAGGAATTTATAAAGGTTTTATAAAGTGAATTCAGTTTTGAAGCTATCTGGCAATTTCATCAGACTTAAGAGAGAGTTCGTTGAGTACATCTTTTAAGATCAATAGAATCTTTCTCCTTCTTTGAGACAAGATAGGGTGATCTAAACCCTAGGGGAAAATTACCATATTGGCAAACAAAAGACATGCTCACCGATTGCCAACTTAAAAATCTTTCCCCAAGGGTTGAGATAATCTCATTTCACACTCTAGGGGGTGAAAGATCATTTTTCTCTTACCATTCTGTGCTAATAGACGTGTAATATTTTTATGCCAAAGGTTGAAATTGCTGATGAAATGTTAGTGAATTGTTGAAGAATTGTTTCTCTGATGCCATACCATTGTCCTGAAAGGAAATCCCCCACCCCCATCCCCCATTCCACGCCTTCCCTAAGAATATGACAAGGTCCAATATGTATATGCCTACACTATACCCTTGTTCAAGTCTTGAATCAGTTTGTCTTTTTATAAAATCCCTCATCCCTCTTGTTCCATTCCCAGACCGATTGAATTGCCTTTCCATACAATCTCTTAATGCAGACTTATTAAAATCCTGTGTGATACGTAAATCAAGTAATTCAGAATTATTTTTATATCTGAAAAGTAGACTTATACTTAAATTAAGTAGCATTACTGTAAAATGATATATTTTTGTGGGGCTCAATCCTCATGGTTTTTCAAAAGCTTACTATTTTGTGAATAGATCTAGTTAAATAAAGTTACTCATATGAAGTTCAACAGTTTGTGAACATATAAATTTGTGGATTAAATGTACTCACTAAATCCATGAAAATAAATTCCCCACAAAAATCAAAGATTTTACAGTAACTGAATTGATCATTTTGATAAATTAATGTTGAAAATATCTCAGAATATCAAGAATGCCTCTGTTCCATGGTCACTGATATCATCCTTTGACTTATATTAAGTAACTGGAAGTTTGACTGAAATCTCCTCAGAACAGAAGAGCAAGAGACTCTCCCATATTGTTGGATGATTTTCATTAACTATAGCTACTGCAGCCTTGACTTAGAGCTCGGAGCCCAGTGAAACAAACTCTACTGCAGCCTTGACTTAGAGCTCGGAGCCCAGTGAAACAAACTCCCTTAAGAAATCTTCTTACAATGATCTCTGCATAAAATCTTATTAAAAAAATCTAAAAAAAAAAGAAATCTCTAGAGCAAAATTTGGTGATGATGTCCTAATATAAGACTTATAATGACCTTGACCTTTGACCTCTGACACACAAACTCATCTAGTCATTCTTACAGATGCATGACCTAAACTTAAGTTTGAGCAAATGAAGAACAGTGATATCGATGAATAATCAGATGATTTTATAAAAATAGTTGCAATGCGATTGACTTTGAAACTGTGGAACAAAGGTATCGTATTCTCAAAAAGGCTCAATTCAGTTAAACCTTCAAAATCATCTTATCATTTGACAGAAACATCACACAGAAGATTGACAATATGTTCAAGGGCAAAAAAATCTAATTGATGAAAGAGTTTTAAGCTGGAAAGAGTTATTTTTATGTATCTGTATTTAGGTATAACTGATCACCTATAACAATAAGTTGGATTTACCAACAGACAAACTGCGAAGCCATCTACCAGCAGTGTTAAAAGGATTCATGCTTTCATTCATCTAATGTATCTTAAGCCTCTATTTGTCTCTATCATCTTGACAGTTAAAACCCATCATTTTATGAGGTGACTGCCAGAAAACTTGGTCTGATAAGAGATTTATCTGATAATGTGTCAATTTCTTATGTCTTCAATTGTAACTCTGTAGGTTCTTATAATGTGAAACAGAAGAGAAAATTGTAAATTGCCAATGGTTCTATATTCCTATTTAAATTTGTACATTTTCATCATCATTATGGGTGATTTCCATTACATAAATTGCTTTCATTATAAAAACAGCTTAGTAAGTTACCACATACACTTTCATCAATGTAATTGATTCTGTAGCATTAGGCCTTCACAGTCTTAATGTATATGAAGCTAAATTGTCTCAGTTCTTTCGGATTTACTTATTACAAGTCAAATCACAAAATTTTTTAAAAAAATTACATTTTCTAGATTAGTTTTGGATACAGATGCTACTTATTCTTTTGTAAGATATGTGATGTAAATTCCTCCTGTCTACCACAAGATAGGTATTACTGACCAAATATATTTCACTAGGATCGTTTGGAAAGCCATGAATATACATTAAGTTAGCCATTTTTCATTTAATAGGAAAATGACACTTGTCAGTATAACATTAGCTTGTATAATCACATCAACTTCCAATCCTGTTGGAAAATTGCGTAACTGATTTCATCCATCTTCAGTTAATTACTGTTTACAATAGTCGTCTGGTGAATGTATCTCCTTGGTATGAAAGGACAGTAGCAATTCTCACTGGTGTCCCAATCATTACTTCACTAGCCCTGCTGATTCAGCAACACTTTAACTTTAGCACACACCTCATAACCATTTGACAGCAGCCAAAAGTAACATTCAATAACTTAAATGTTAAAGTTTGCTTCCATCAAGAAAATGCAGTGAACAGCCTCAGCTTGAGGTGTTGAGCTCAGTTTTTTAAGATACAGATTTATTGATGCTGAGCTGGAGTTTTTGAGTTGGTACTGAAATGTCATCTTGAGTCGGTGCCATTTATGTTTATAATATGAATTAAAGCCTGCATCTTCAATATGACGCGATACATATTACCATGAAAAGTTATCAATTCTTTTTGTTATGAAGCAAACTCCAAAAAAATCTTATATAAATCTATGTACATCACTTAAGAGAAAAACTATTGTCTGCAAGAAATCCTTGACCAGAGTTCTCAATTTTTAATCATTTCAATATAGAAATACACATTTTATAATATCTTTAAAATAAATACTTAATATAAATTTCCATTTCCTGTGACTGACAAACCAAAACAAAACATTTGTCATTTAAGCAAGCCTTTCTGAAATGAAATATTTTAGCTTTATCAAGAAAACTGTAAATGTTCAGTCAAGCATTAAAGGTATGCATGAATGGTTTGTGGTTACTAAGTAAGATATCATTATCAAGCATTTATTTAATATCTAAGATATGAACATTTCAGCATCAATGCAATCGAAAGGCACAGCATGCTAATCACGCAAAGGGGCACTGCTTTGTCCACTTTGTCGTAATTTTGTGTCTATCACAAAATCTGTGTTATGACACAGGCAGCAGGATAGTTCTCTGTCAAATGGGATTTGATCTGCTCCATGCCATTTATTCAAACTTTGCTAATTAAAGACTGCCTGGAGTCCAATATTCAGAAAAATCCAAAACACAGAATGGGTTTTCAAAATGTTATTCACACTACACAATTAAACTGCAGATATCTGCTACCACTTATCTTTTAACTTTTCCAATATCTAATTTCAAAGTTATTTTTGAAGATTTCTGATGTCTAATACTGAAATTAACTTTAAGTTTTTCTGATGACAAATACCAAAAGTTACCTCCTAAGCTTCTGATATCTAATATCAAAGTTGTCTTTAAGGTTTTCCAAAGTCTGTTACTGAAGTCCTTTTAAGGTTTTCCCAAAGTACCTATGAAAATACAAAATTCGGGAAAGCACTGACCTGTGTGGAGTAGATGTTGCAGGCCGCCCAGCGGATTGTAGCGCCCAACGCTGAGAGCGTCTCAATGAGTACCTGTTCAGGTAAAAAAAAGTTATACAAATAAGACTAAAAAGTTCACAACAGTATCATATATAAACAAAATTATGTATTTCTCTTGTGACATGTCCAAAGGATCAGCACATTACTTCAGAATCAAAGTCAGGGGGTGGGCTTATTAAAAGATGATGAAATAACAAAAGTCGGTAATTCTGCTAAAATAGCTCATGTTAAAGTAGACCAGGCATTGCTGTATATATTTAATACATCTCATGAAATGGACTAAATGAACATCAAATGTATCTTTTTAAAGTATTAAACCTGATAATGCAGAGACTTCGCATTAATGAATTAAAACCAGTAATCTGATCCCGGGATAGATCCTGATAACAGTCCGGAATTTTCTAAGAAAGAATCTGGTTTTAGCACTTGCTAATATTTCATACCTCACCACCCTCTGGGGACATTTTTGTCTAGACTTTACTTCTTAGAAATTTGATTCAACATACAATAAGGGTTTTAAACACAGAACAGTAGGATGATGCTCATTTTAAAATCTCCTAAGATTAAGTGAGAGGAATGACTCTCGGAGGATATGAAAAAGTTATGAAACACAAACTTTTGAGAAAAAGCCTTCATGGATACCAAACAATGTTAACTCACTCACTCACAGATAATAATATTATACATTGTTTTAAAGTTATCACACACCAGAATTGGTCAAACAAACCTTATTGATATAAAACTCTGTGAAAATTATAACTTATATCGTATATACTCAAACAAGACAGACTTAGTCAATATAAGACAGCATAAAAATTGTAACTTATATCATATATACTAAACCGAGAAACCCTACATTAGTGGAACATATATATAGGAAGATATAGTGCTTGTGTGTCTTTGTGGTATATTAATAACACTTCTCCTGCTACGTAACGATTACACAGTGATTTTCTGCTCTGTACACCACATTCAACCCAACCAACTATCTATATCTAGTGATATTTGTGAGGTATCCAATTCTTGATGGAACGGCAGGAAAGAACACTTTAGATAAATCTGGCAGCACATCCCTCTCCTAACAATTAATCTTGTACCAGACAGCACATGGTCCAGTTGTGATGCATGTACACAGTCTTGAATATCAATAGTTCTCAGATGGTGCATGTATACAGCTTTATTGCCAGAAGCTCCGACATTGGCCAAAAGTACACCCATGAAATACCAGAGCTCTTATCTTAATCATACACCTTCAAACAGTGACTATCATTTTGCTGCACTATCATAAGGTTTACCATTACTTGTATCACTGATTTCAAAATAGGATATTCTGTCTTTATTCATGACCCATCTAGGGGAGGAGCTAAGAGAGTGAACTTTATTTGTAAAAAAATTTACCTTCAGATAAAAGCAAATATCTTAATTCAAGCCAAAATTTGACCTTTATTTGTAATAATGACCTTCAGATAAAGGCAGATCTCTATTAATGACCCAGGGTAATATTTGTAATATTGACCTTCAGATAAAGGCAGATCTCTATTAATGACCCAGGGTAATATTTGTAATAATGACCTTCAGATGAAATTTGAAAACTTGAATATTTAAGGGCTAGTGTTAAAAATGACACTCAAGAAAAGTGAGACAATTTCTATCCCTCACCATGATGATAGAATCAAATTTGAGTTTTTTTCTTTTTTTTTTATAGCATGTCTGTTGAATGAAGGTTGACTTCTACTACTAGATAACATCTGTAAAAAATTCTTAAGGGCAAAGTTTTGCCTCAAATTATTACATTCTTTCATGATATTTTATCTAAACAAAATCAATGACAAATTTGTTAATTACAGAAACGTGTCTGCATGCTATTTATGATGACACTAAAAGTAAGGGAAACGTGTCTCACTTTATCAACAAATTAAGTTCAGAACAAATATAACAGCTTGAGACAAAAGCCAACCATGCCATTTTCTCTGCTGAAGACTGACACTTAGTCAATACTGCTTTATCTTGGATGTGGCACACAATTCTTGAAATCAAAGCCAATCTATCTGATGAAGGCTATATCATGCTGAGGAATCCTTGGCTGAAAAAGTTAACTGAGCTTGTGTCCAGTCAGCAAAAATGTGGCAGGTGCTTGTCAGTTGTGGCAGTTATAGGTCATTATGTTCAATGATTTAAAACTGAATTAAGTACAACATATAAGGTCTTTCAGCATTTGGAGACCATTTAAACATTGCACCTCTGAATCACATGAAAATGAAGGAGTTGTTCTTTTCTGATTCATAAATTCGGAGGACAGCGAAAGCTTTGAACAAATATTGATGTGTTTCAAAGTAATTTGATCAAAATATAAATGATTGCTGATCCTAATAAAATATGAAATCTTACTTAAAACCTCGTTAAAAGCATCTTCAATATCAATAAAAAACAAATATAATTTCTGAACATAAACAAGATAATCTGCCTCTAAGGCAATGTCAGTTGTGCCAGCCTAATTACGAATAGCATGTCTTATACCAGACAGAATCATTCAAGGAATAAAAACAAAAGGCAGGATTCAGAGAATTTCTGTTGGCATGATATAATCGATGATAGACTGAAAATGATTGCCGTGAGACTGTATTAGAGTTCAATGGCTGTCTCCTTCAACAAGCTGAATTAAGCCATTCATCGGAATCATCTGTGGGAATATCTAATTACAGGCGATTACTTTAAAAATTAAGCTCTCATCAGATATAAGATAACTTCCTGTTGGTCACCACTGTTGCCTTTAGTGATACAATCCTCATTGGCCTTTACTATAATTCTCTTGTTTGGCAACAAGTGATAAGACATCACTACATATAGGAAGACAATTCAATTTTTACATGTACATGTGGGGACAGAAAACAAGCTTCAACTCACATTTTATTTTTGCCAAAGATTCAAACCAGAATAAAAGCTAACGTGTGGTAAAACTATCTCTATATAGGAGAGTTCCATCAACATATTGAATTCATCAGTTCTATGTAATCTCAATAGGGATTGAAGCTGACTCTGTAACAGGGAAAGTTGAAAGCTAGGTGTTGGGAATTTAATGATGGCTACCAATATTATGTAATGTAATGGTAGAGAATTAAACTTGACAATGAACTCGTTGTATTGGTATTTTAGTGCCAACTAGCTTCGGTTTCTTGATAAAACTAAATCACAACACTACTATATAACTTTCGGATGACCTAATTGAAGCAATATGGGACCAGAAAAAAATACATTAATAGCTCCAGCCACCATAACAATGATGTATCTTGTAGTCATGGTCACAATAACCTTGACATCAAAACTAACATTTCTGAATGTTTAATAACATTCTGTGCATTGTGTTCTTTACAAAGACTCTTAGAAATGTTATACATTGTATTGGCTTTCTCTTAACATTCAAATCATGTATTTATAACAAAAGATTCTAGAGGGATCTTCATATCATACCAGCCTTTTTCCCTAAACATTCAAATTATGTATCTATAACAAGAGATTTTTGATGTTTAAGTTTGATTTAAATTTAATCTTTGTATGATACTCGCCTTTTCCCGAAACATTTCTATCATATTTAGAACAAGATAAGTGTGAACTTTTCTCGTCCTGAATATTCTTCCCTCTTAATCATTTGTTGTGTTGATAATGGTACAATCAACATGAGTTCTGTGTAAGTATGAACTTTTCTCGTCTTGCCAATAGTTGAAAGTCAATCATCAAGTGGTACCATATTTCGATATTTACAATTGCCAATCTTGAACTGTCAGAATCAAAGATGGCCACAAATTGGCCATTTTCTTGTTGCTAATCCTGATTGGGCACGAAAGGAAACAAGGGGAACTAACCAAGATTTTATTTTGTACTTTCAGAGGAACAACAAAGATAATCTTTCATTATCAAATTCCAAGATGTCTGCCCGTCAGCCATTTTCATTCCGAACAATCCGAAACATAAACTGTTACAACTGTGGGCAAAGAACAGACAGACAATGACACATTACAGACAAAAGGTCATTTCAACAGTCAACCATAGATATACGACAGGGAAAACTTTCAGCAACTGATAAACATATATCATTCTTGGTAACACAACCTCTCACTATTATTAACGATTCTGTCCCAACTGATCACCCTTCACCTCCTGACCTCAAAAGTAATTCTATTACACTATACACCCACTGATTGATCAAGTCATAATCTAATACATCACTGAATTAAGGAGGATAGATTTAATGTGGCTACTTTCCGCACCACTTACCGCAGTCTGTGCAGTGATGTGTGTACAGCCAATGATCTTAGCTCCAACTAGAGGCTTGTCAGACTCAGCTCTTCGTCGCAAAGCGATCAGCCCAGGCATTTCTGTATGAAAAAGAAAAATTGATCATCAAAAAGGACAATAAAGTAATGAATTGTAATGGTTCAATTCACATTCTATGCTTTGTAAGAGATTTCATAAATTATTGAATTTTCAATCAAATTTATGAAATATTTTAGGAATCTGTTCAGCAAAAAATACCAAGAAGAATTCCAAATATTCAGATTTGAGGCAGACATGTTGCTTCCTTTATAATTTTGACAAATTCACAATAACATCAAGATGCTAGAATTCTATTTATAGGAAGTGCCCTTATTTTGAATGTGGGAATAGAAATGAGCTGATCCATATATTGTCTAAAAGATTCTTTCCAAGGATTTCAAAATATTGATAATAAAAATTGCCTGGGCCCTACCAAATCCTTAAACCCTATACTTCTTAATGGCCCCTAATCTTAAAGATTTTTTTTTTTTTTTTTTGGTAGGATCATTTCTCTATGTTTTCACTCTGTCTAACAGTAAACTTGTATTAAGCTGACTTTGTATAGTTTCATCAAATCTTACTGAAATTCTACATATCAAAGTAAAATACGAAAGATCTAGTATTTCAAAAATAAAACAAAATTATTTTTGAAAATAAATAAAGAAAAGAAACATTTGTTCCAACAACCTAATTTGATTTTATCACATTTAAGTCTAAGAGCCGTCAGATTTCAAGTTCTACTCTAACAAACACACACACTTAAGGAGTATGATATAGGGTGGACAAACAAATAATTTTAAAGCTATCAAGGTTAAAGCTTACAAATCACTTAAAATCCTGGTTTAAATCTGTCTCTAATGTTTCAAGATCATCTATAAATCTAGTCACTTTCTAATAACTGGGATAGAGGTCACCATAGCAGTGGTTAGGATTTTAAAAATGCAGGTGTGTGGAAACAAGAGGCCCATGGGCCTTAACGGTCATCTGACAAAAAGCAAGCCAAACCTAGAAAGTGGGTTGAGGTCATTCATTTGAACAAACTTGGTAGCCTCTCCTCCAAGCATCTTACAGGCCCAATATCAGCACTCATGGACTTTTGCTTGTTGAGAAGAAGTCGTTTGTATATTTTAACATATTTGACCCCTGTGACCTTGAAAGTGGGTTGAGGTCATTCATTTGAATAAACTTGGTAGCCTTTCCTCCCAGCATGCTACAGACCCAATATCGGCACTCATAGACTTTTGCTTATTGAGATGAAGTCCTTTGTATATTTTAACATATTTGACCCCTGTGACCTTGAAAGTGGGCCAAGGTCATTCATTTGAACAAACTTTGTAGGGCTCCATGCCAGCATGCTATGGGCCAAGTATTAGCCCCCTAGGCCTTCTAGTATTTGAGAAGAAGTTATTTAAAGATTTTAACATATTTGACCCCTGCGACCTTGAAAGTTGTTCAAGGTCATTCATTTAAATAAACTTGGTAGCCTTTCCTCCCAGCATGCTACAGACCCAATATCGGCACTCATAGACTTTTGCTTATTGAGATGAAGTCCTTTGTATATTTTAACATATTTGACCCCTGTGACCTTGAAAGTGGGCCAAGGTCATTCATTTGAACAAACTTTGTAGGGCTCCATGCCAGAATGCTATGGGCCAAGTATTAGCCCCCTAGGCCTTCTAGTATTTGAGAAGAAGTTATTTAAAGATTTTGACATATTTGACCCCTGTGACCTTGAAAGTTGTTCAAGGTCATTCATTTAAACAAACTTGATAGCCCTTCATCCCAGCATGCCACAGGCACAATATCAGCAATCTGAGCCTTTTGGTTATTGAGAAGAAGTTGTTTAAAGATTTTAACATATTTGACCCCTGTGACCTTTAAAGTGGGTCAAGGTCATTCATTTGAACAAACTTGGTAGTACTTCATCCCAGCATGTCACAGGCCCAATATCTACACTCTGAGCCTTTTGGTTAATGAGAAGAAGTTGTTTAAAGATTTTAACATATTTGACCCCTGTGACCTTTAAAGTGGGTCAAGGTCATTCATTTGAACAAACTTGGTAGAGCTCCATGCCAGTATCCTCTGTGCCAAGTATTAGCGCCCTAGACCTTCTAGTATTTGAGAAGAAGTCGTTTGAATGAAAAGTTTACGGACGGCGCACGGCGCACGGCGGACGGCGGACGGCGCACGGCGCACGGCGGACGACGACGGACGAAGCATGATGACTATAGGTCATCGGACCCTTCGGGTCCAGATGACCTAAAAAGCACTCCTGAACTGTCCAAGGTGAGTGATTTGCAAGACGAGGGACCGCAGGGCCCGAGTCCCTCTAGGTGGGACTAGAGGGACTAGTAAGCCAGGGGTCCCGGGTTCGATTCCTAGTGGAGGCATTGAGATGAAAAATGACCTCTGTTACATTCATAAAATGCATTTTGGTGCATTCTGAGTAAGAAAATTATGAATTAAAATAGTTGAAAAATAATTGGATTTTATAGTGTCATATATGTTTTTTTTGTGATTGATAGCAGATACATGTTTAAATAGAAAACATATATATACAGAACTTATAAACAGAGGGATAAGGTAAACTCAAAAATCACGGGACAAGACAATATAGTGACAGGAAACAACACGAACCTCTATAAAAACCAGAGGTGGAATCAGGTGCTCCAGAAGGGTAAGCATTTCCTGCTTCACATGTGTTTACTGCATGAACTGTTGAAGCATGCGATAAACTTCGCTGGTGCCTCGCCTGGCTGTGAACCAATGAATTTACTAACGTTGCATTTGATTGGTCGCCAATTGTGCTGTCGGCCAATCAAATCGATCTTTAGAAAACACTAGATGGTTTCATTTTGTGATACATGCGAGCTACACATACACATGTACAACACGATGTTGGTAAGGGCCAGTTAAACATACATGTACATGTTTCAGCCCCACATGGGAATACAGTTAGCCTCTATATGTGTTGAATACAGATTTAAAGAATAAAATTAATTTCAGATAATGCCAGTTAGGCATGTAATCTAAAGGAGTATAGGTGGGCATATTTCCACACCCCTCACGGAAGAACGAGGCGCGGGAAGGTGCAAGAGTGCGATTGCTCGCCTCTAAACATAAGCACTGCATAGAGAACCATCTGAAATCACTTGTTACTGACTCAGCTAGAGGTATGTCACAGTGGTGAACCATCTAGTCACTTGTTACTGACTCAGCTAGAGGTATGTCACAGTGGTGAACCATCTAGTCACTTGTTACTGACTCAGCTAGAGGTATGTCACAGTGGTGAACCATCTAGTCACTTGTTACTGACTCAGCTAGAGGTATGTCACAGTGGTGAACCATCTAGTCACTTGTTACTGACTCAGCTAGAGATATGTCACAGTGGTGAACCATCTAGTCACTTGTTACTGACTCAGCTAGAGGTATGTCACAGTGGTGAACCATCTAGTCACTTGTTACTGACTCAGCTAGAGATATGTCACAGTGGTGAACCATCTAGGCACTTGTTACTGACTCAGCTAGAGGTATGTCACAGTGGTGAACCATCTAGTCACTTGTGACTAACTCAGCTAGAGGTATGTCATAGAAATTTCAGCATGAATCTCACAAGTGATTTACAATCTCAGACTGTTAAGGATCTGTTTTATGTTTAAGATTTTCTATCAAAAGTCTAAAACTTTGAAAATCAAATCCTCAGATTTTTAAGTTAAGGTCAAATACCCTGTGACAACAATTAAAGCTTTGAAGAAATACCTTGCTCTGCAATCTCGATCTCCCTCCGCCCGAATGCTGCACTTTCAATGTTGCGAACACAGAAGTCCGTTCCTCCCTTGCCATTTTTCTGCCAAAGAAAAAATCACATTTTGAAATAGAAGAAAAGATTTCTAATAAAATGTATAAAACCTAATAAGTGCAGCTACTCAAATAAGGACAACTCGGAAACTTTGATAAAACAACACACATGCTTATTGTACGATTCCAATTTGTTTGCTCCAGACTACATCATTTCCAGAGGTAGTCTAGTTATGTAACTGGTTTTGTTGAAAGTTCTTGCTTCCAAAATTGCACTGTAATCAGTTTTGAGGCTAAACTGAAGGAAGCCGAAAACTTGGCCCTGAAAACTAAAGCTTAATAAAAATATTAATGATTCTAATCTGAGAAATAAAACACATTTTTGATGTTACGTTCAACTTGGGAAGTCCAAATAGTCCAAATGTTTTATTAAGTAGAAAGAAAGTATAAAATTTCAGCCTGTTTTTATGTCCTATAAATATTGAAACTACAAAGCCATATGGAAAAACTGTAAAATAGCAAGACCTGTATCATATGCAAAAGGAAAGCAGGCCCAAAGGCCTGAGCTGTATTTTGGTTTTAAACAAATGACCAGCACAAACTTAACAAAACTACCTTATCCAATATCTAGCTTACAGATAAAAGCCTGCAGGGTTTTGTTTGCAGTAAGTGTGGATTTTTAAATGATATTTTAGATATATGAACAAATCCAATTCAGAAAATGAATGCACATATTCAAAATTTTGACCCCTGTGAACTTGAAAGTGTGTCAAAGTCATTTAATTGAACAAACTTCAGACCTCTGGGTCTTTTGGTTATTGAGAAGAATTCACTTGTAGATTTAACACATTTTACATCTGTGACCTTGAAAGTTAGTCAAGGTCATAAGTTTGAATAATTTGGTAGCACCTCATCCCAGCATGCTACAGTCCAAATATCAGAGGTCTGGGCCTTCAGGTTATTGAGAAGAAGCCAAAAATATGAACAGTTTACCATGGATGATGCAATGCGACAGACAAAAGTCAATCGCAATGGTCACATGAGACCTAGATTGTTGAGTTTTATTGTAGGAGACCTAGATTGTTGAGTTTTATTGTAGGAGACCTAGATCCTTGTGTTTTATTGTAGGAGACCTAGATCCTTGAGTTTTATTGTAGGAGACCTAGATTGTTGAGTTTTATTATAGGAGACCTAGATCATTGTGTTTTATTGTCAGAGACCTAGATCCTTGTGTTATATTGTCAGAGACCTAGATCCTTGTGTTTTATTGTAGGAGACCTAAATCCTTGTGTTATATTGTCAGAGACCTAGATCCTTGTGTTTTATTGTCAGAGACCTAGATCCTTGTGTTTTATTGTAGGAGACCTAGATCCTTGTGTTTTATTGTAGGAGACCTAGATCCTTGTGTTTTATTGTAGGAGACCTAGATCCTTGTGTTTTATTGTAGGAGACCTAGATCCTTGTGTTTTATTGTCAGAGACCTAGATCCTTGTGTTTTATTGTAGGAGACCTAGATCCTTGTGTTTTATTGTAGGAGACCTAGATCCTTGAGTTTTATTGTAGGAGACCTAGATTGTCCTTCCTCGTGTTTTATTGTAGGAGACCTATCCTTGTGTTTTATTGTAGGAGACCTAGATCCTTTTTATTGTCAGAGACCTGTTCGTGTTTTATTGTAGGAGACCTAGATCCTTGTGTTTTATTGTAGGAGACCTAGATCCTTGTGTTTTATTGTAGGAGACCTAGATCCTTGTGTTTTATTGTAGGAGACCTAGATCCTTGTGTTTTATTGTAGGAGACCTAGATCCATGTGTTTTATTGTCAGAGACCTAGATCCTTGTGTTTTATTGTAGGAGACCTAGATCCTTGTGTTTTATTGTCAGAGACCTAAATACTGGAGTTTTATTGTAGGAGACCTAGATCCTTGTGTTTTATTGTAGGAGACCTAGATCCTTGTGTTTTATTGTCAGAGACCTAGATCCTTGTGTTTTCTTGTCAGAGACCTAGATCTTTGTGTTTTATTGTCAGAGACCTAGATCCTTGTGTTTTATTGTCAGAGACCTAGATCCTTGTGTTTTATTGTAGGAGACCTAGATCCTTGTGTTTTATTGTAGGAGACCTAGATCCTTGTGTTTTATTGTAGGAGACCTAGATCCTTGTGTTTTATTGTAGGAGACCTAGATCCTTGTGTTTTATTGTAGGAGACCTAGATCCTTGTGTTTTATTGTCAGAGACCTAGATCCTTGTGTTTTATTGTAGGAGACCTAGATCCTTGTGTTTTATTGTCAGAGACCTAGATCCTTGTGTTTTATTGTAGGAGACCTAGATCCTTGTGTTTTATTGTAGGAGACCTAGATCCTTGTGTTTTATTGTAGGAGACCTAGATCCTTGTGTTTTATTGTCAGAGACCTAGATCCTTGTGTTTTATTGTCAGAGACCTAGATCCTTGTGTTTTATTGTAGGAGACCTAGATCCTTGTGTTTTATTGTAGGAGACCTAAATCCTTGTGTTTTATTGTAGGAGACCTAGATCCTTGTGTTTTATTGTAGGAGACCTAGATCCTTGTGTTTTATTGTAGGAGACCTAGATCCTTGTGTTTTATTGTAGGAGACCTAGATCCTTGTGTTTTATTGTCAGAGACCTAGATCCTTGTGTTTTATTGTCAGAGACCTAGATCCTTGTGTTTTATTGTAGGAGACCTAGATCCTTGTGTTTTATTGTAGGAGACCTAGATCCTTGTGTTTTATTGTCAGAGACCTAGATCCTTGTGTTTTCTTGTCAGAGACCTAGATCCTTGTGTTTTATTGTAGGAGACCTAGATCCTTGTGTTTTATTGTAGGAGACCTAAATCCTTGAGTTTTATTGTCAGAGACCTAAATCCCCTATGAAAACCTGACATGTCCCCTGGCAAACACTTCTACATTATCTACAGAATATATCTAACACAGAAATAATTCAGGACCATCACCTGAATACTAACGCTACAAACTACACACATTAAATGTATCAAGTCAACTTGACCTAGGAAAGCAATTAGTTGGCTACAGCCCAGAAAAACATTTCCCTGGCTAATTAGTCGTGTAGGAAACAATTATCAAAGCTATTTGATATTGTTGAATACTTTTTCATCAACGTCCAGAACACATTTCATTATATTTTGTTCCGTTATCAGAAGCATTTGTTTTGGACAAGAATCTGTGGAAACCTGACCATCAGAACGTGACTGCTTTGATTTAGGAAGTTGAATGACTGTATTTGCAATATCTATCGGGATTGATTGTCAGTACTATAGCCTGGTGCTAACGTTATTGATTTTGACCAGGGCTACATACCTCTGTGTAATTCTGGACACAAATATTTCATACCATTCAATCAACAAAACGGAAACACTTTCCCCATCAAAATTTTGTAAAAACCATTTTTTTTTTAATTTCCAACTAAAGCTTGCATGCTGTCCTTATAAAACATATCAGCCTTAATGACCTAAATAAGAAGTTCCATTAATTGACTTTTTTTTCCAACTGTGACATTTCCTTATAATTTGTCTTTTTTCCATTAAGCTGTCTACTGATACCAAAATTCAGACATTCCAATGATCCACTAAAACCTCAATTAAGACTTTCTTTTGACTTGTGAATTCATATATTCCATTAACGTCTCAATTAAGACATTTTATTCAAATTTAATTAAGATATTCTGCGAACATTCAACAGACCATTGATTTGGGCATTCTAACAGTGTTCAAATTATTCCGTCATCCCAGCACATTTACCTTACTAAATCTAATTGAATGTCCAAACCGAGGCCTTTACTTAGAGCATCCAACTGTTTAGTTCTCCGGGTATGTATGGTATGTGTAAATATGGCAGCTTGACAGGCAAACATCATCAATTATAACACCATAAATGCCAGACATTTCAGTGTTTAAATTTACATTTCCTACATCAATAATAACACCATAAATGCCAGATGGCTCAGTGTTTAAATTTACATTTCCTACATATTCCCATAAATGCCAGATAGCTCAGTGTTTAAAATTACATTTCCTACATCAATTATAACACCATAAATGCCAGATGGCTCAGTGTTTAAATTTACATTTCCTACATCAATTATAACACCATAAATGCTAGACAGTTCAGTGTTAGGTCTATATTATAGACTATGACTAACCTTTTTAATCTTTAGTGATAATATAACCATTTAAGATTTTCAGCATTTGTCAAACCTTTTAGTTTGTTGTATGTTATTTCCTTTTTGGATCGCTGTGTGTTTCACCAGCTGATGTCCCTAATGACCTTTTATGTGTTGACTGACCATTAAGAATGAAATAATTATAATTATAAGTTTAGTGTTAAATTTACATTTCCTACATTGATTTTGTATAAATGTGAAATATGCAGATTAAATCTCGATGAACTTATTCATCCTCAACTGTTCAAATTGTTAGCCATCAAATGAAAGTGGTATGTCATTGGTTCTACAGACTTAATTAGGATGTGTCTTCCTATGGTACTGTGTTAAATGTCATTTATGGTACATTTTGTGCCACTTTTGTCCTGTTTACAGAACAGAACTACTGTCATGTATAAACATATCAGAGTATCAGAATTCTCCTGATATCAATATTTACTGAAACGAACATGTACTGATGAATTTACAGACTATGAACTCCCCAAACACACATCCATGTACAGATTAAGATTCATACACCTTCCTACAGCAGACACAATGGTTCCACAGAGAGTCTGTATCGTGTAACTTTCTGAAGTGACAGCAGTTGAGCAGACATAACAGGTGTTTACAGACAGCGATTGTCATAGTAACAAAACTGTGGAAAATACAAGACTTCTATAAAATATTCATATAGCCAATACTTAAAAGTATTTACAGCTGTGTTGTGGTACAGCTACATCCACACAGGGTAAAGAGAGCACTCTTTTCTTCCTATAAAAGTATAATGTCATCTGTCACCAGAAATGTTTTCAAAAATAATTTTTTTTATATCTACGTCCCTACTGTCTATCTCATCTTAACACTTACAGATAGGGAGACAATCAGGTAAGAGTTCTCTATACATAATCTCTTCAACAACTGGCAATATTTGTCAAAATTGACGTCTACATTATAGCACCATAACACGTCCCTCAGCTTAGTACCACCTTGCCTTATAAGGTAACATTTATCATAAAAAGGTTCCTATATGTCAACAGATTCCTTTCTATGTCTTTACAACAATATATCACCAAACGTTATTCATGGTGCAGTTAATATTTTTTCTTGGCATTTGGATTTATTAAAACAAGGTTTGCAGAAGTATTTTTCTATGGAAAGAGAAATTTAAGTCATTGTTAATAAACCAACGGAATGTAAAACATATTGTATAAAACATCAATTGTTACTTAAAAAGGAAGCTTAATGTAATAGATTTTCTATCAAAATCAGACTAGACTGTACAAAAGACATGAAAGTGATTCTGTATTATCATCTTTTGAAAGAAATTGAAATTAAACTGAATCATACATCTATATAATAAAAGTTCTTATAACACAACCAGTAGAAGATTAGAATGTGACATTTATAAGACTACACGGTCATCTTCATCTTATAACACAACCAGTAGAAGATTAGAATGTGACATTTATAAGACTACACGGTCATCTTCATCTTATAACACAACCAGTAGAAGATTAGAATGTGACATTTATAAGACTACACGGTCATCTTCATCTTATAACACAACCAGTAGAAGATTAGAGTGTGACATTTATAAGACTACACGGTCATCTTCATCTTATAACACAACCAGTAGAAGATTAGAATGTGATCATTTATAACACAACCAGACTACACGGTCATCTTCATCTTATAACACAACCAGTAGAAGATTAGAGTGTGACATTTATAAGACTACACGGTCATCTTCATCTTATAACACAACCAGTAGAAGATTAGAGTGTGACATTTATAAGACTACACGGTCATCTTCATCTTATAACACAACCAGTAGAAGATTAGAGTGTGACATTTATAAGACTACATGGTAACCTTCATCAGACAAATGACCAGTGTGGAGTGTACCAACACTGACGTATGTAGTGTGCGAGCGTACTTTTCATTGATGCAAAATCCCAATATCTTTTATGTAACATAATTGTAAAATCATGCCATATGCATCTATATTGTAAAAAAATCAGTATTTCATGTAGCAAAACTAGAAAATTACCTGCACTGGGGACTAAGTATTGAGAAGCTCATCTCTTTTTGCAATTTTTAAAAAGCAGTACATGGAAATTTAGTGACATTGATCAAAGCTATTGAAAAGTCCAAATACTATATATAACTCTGGAAAAAGTCCATATTTCTGAACAGGATCATCTTCATGTTTATCCTTTGGAGGGAACTCCTACATCAAATTTAATCAATACAAAGTCAAACTTTATGATGTTTTAAAATGTCTCACCTCCATCTTAAATCAAAGATTTCAATTTCTAACAATATTAATCATTATTGATGAAAGAAAAAAAAACCCCATCATAATCGTTAACCAGAGTAAGCCGACCTACCACAGCAGGAATGACAATCTACCACTTGACCATAGAAATCACAGAAGCAGACGGCTAAATCATGCTGGCCATCTTGTCAATCTCACCCAAAGGCTGATCAATAAAGAAAAGCCTGTGAAAGTTATCATCAGATCAAATTTCCGTAACTGTAATCGTATTGATACAGATAAGATGAATTTCCTAATAAGGTACAGACACAAAGAGAATACAATTTAATACACAGAAAAAGAAACCCTTTGTATGATGGATTCTATTTCTACGATATCCTTGTGACCATTGTTCCAAATATTCCAACCTCAGACCATGATTAAGTGTCAATCGATTTTCTGATATATACATTAATCAATAACTTCAAGTCAGAAAGAAGACTTTCAGCACAAACTCAACCATGTATAAAAATCTAGTCGAAACTAATATCACATACGCTACGGTTGTCGCAACATGGTGCAATATATATAAAAGAAAAAAAATTCACCAAAATTTCTTTTTTTCCGTCAGTGTTTTTCTTGGTTATTAAGTTAATTGGAAACAGTCTTGGAGAGATGATAAATTATGAAAGAATCTAATCCTTGGAATTGAATTAGAGGAACTAACATTAACCAATACACAGGTTTCTTGCTGTTTTACAGCTAGCCCCTGATATCTGTTTCTCCAGCATACACATTGCCTTACTGTGTGTTCAGATCAATGATCCAACTTAACAGTCCTTAAACACACAAAGAGTCCTTCCAATTTGTAATATAACCATTCTACAAAAAATATGATCTGCAGTCTGGATCTCAAAACCATTCTTTATTCAGACTTTGATCAGCTCCAGCTTCAAACCATTCTACCAAAACATTCTACCATAAAGCTGTGATCTGCGGCCTGGATGGGACCTGATCTCAAACCATTCTACCCGAGCTGTGACCAGCCTTAGCCTCAAACCATTCTACCCGAGCTGTGACCAGCCTTAGTCTCAAACCATTCTACCAGAGCTGTGACCAGCCTTAGTGTGACTCAAACCATTCTACCCTCAGCTGTGACCAGCCTTAGCCAAACCATTCTACCAGAGCTGTGACAAACCATTCTACCAGAGCTGTGACCAGCCTTAGTCTCAAACCATTCTACCCGAGCTGTGACCAGCCTTAGCCTCAAACCATTCTACCAGAGCTGTGACCAGCCTTAGTCTCAAACCATTCTACCCGAGCTGTGACCAGCCTTAGTCTCAAACCATTCTACCAGAGCTGTGACCAGCCTTAGTCTCAAACCATTCTACCCGAGCTGTGACCAGCCTTAGTCTCAAACCATTCTACCCGAGCTGTGACCAGCCTTAGTCTCAAACCATTCTACCAGAGCTGTGACCAGCCTTAGTCTCAAACCATTCTACCAGAGCTGTGACCAGCCTTAGTCTCAAACCATTCTACCAGAGCTGTGACCAGCCTTAGTCTCAAACCATTCTACCAGAGCTGTGACCAGCCTTAGCCTCAAACCATTCTACCAGAGCTGTGACCAGCCTTAGCCTCAAACCATTCTACCAGAGCTGTGACCAGCCTTAGCCTCAAACCATTCTACCAGAGCTGTGATCGGCCTTAGCCTCAAACCATTCTACCAGAGCTGTGACCAGCCTTAGTCTCAAACCATTCTACCAGAGCTGTGACCAGCCTTAGTCTCAAACCATTCTACCAGAGCTGTGACCAGCCTTAGCCTCAAACTATTCTACCAGAGCTGTGACCAGCCTTAGCCTCAAACTATTCTACCAGAGCTGTGACCAGCCTTAGCCTCAAACCATTCTACCAGAGCTGTGATCGGCCTTAGCCTCAAACCATTCTACCAGAGCTGTGATCAGCCCTGACCACAAACTATGCTACCAGAGCTGTGACCAGCCTTAGCCTCAAACCATTCTACCAGAGCTGTGATCAGCCCTGACCACAAACTATTCTACCAGAGCTGTGACCAGCCTTAGCCTCAAACCATTCTACCAGAGCTGTGATCGGCCTTAGCCTCAAACCATTCTGCCAGAGCTGTGATCGGCCTTAGCCTCAAACTATTCTACCAGAGCTGTGATCAGCCCTGACCACAAACTATTCTACCAGAGCTGTGATCAGCCCTGACCCCAAACCATTCTACCAAAGCTGTGATCAGCCCTGACCCCAAACCATACTACCAAAGCTGTGATCGGCCCTGACACCAAACCATTCTACCAGAGCTGTGATCTGCCCTGACCCCAAACCATTCTACCAAAGCTGTGATCGACCTTGAACCCTAAGCCATTCTACCAAAGTTGTGATCAGCCCTGACCCCAAACCATTCTACCAAAGCTGTGATCAGCCCTGACCCCCAAACCATTCTACCAAAGCTGTGATCAGCCCTGACCCCAAACCATTCTACCAGAGCTGTGATCAGCCCTGACCCCAAACCATTCTACCAGAGCTGTGATCACCCCTGACCCCAAACCATTCTAACAAAGCTCTGATCTACGCTGACCCCAAATCATTATACGAAAACTGTGATTGGCCCTGACCCTATCAAAAAGGAAAGAAGGCAGGTTAACTGTAGTGTCTTAAACTGTCATGATGGGAGGAAGGAGTACTTTTCTGTGACAGCCAAGATGACATCAGTACCATAAGAGTGAACACTTTACAGTCACCAGGTCAGAATAACCTTTTGTTGATAAGGTGTGTAAATCTACACAAAAACATAAACCAGGACTTAAAATGGTTCTGTTTAGCCCCAAGTTTGAATAATTCAATGTCCTGTTTGGTTAATCTGTAAAGAAATGAAGATTCTATATATATAGTGTGTCCATACCTGTACTTTTTCTCTAGGGTTGATGTCTTCTTCCTCTGAGGAACTGCCAGTGTAGGACGCTGAAAAAACATAAAACGTTCTCAAATTACTGACAGGTAACACTACTGTCAGGACAGCTTTATCTATCTGTGGTCAGGTACAGCCTGGCCATATATAGATTTACACAGAATGACCTTCTGATAAATCTATTGTTGGAGGATATTCCAGACCAAAATAAATTCACAATGAATAATATTTTGATAAATATATCAACGAAATCAAAACAAACTATGTGAATTTCCAATAATCATTTCTCCATTTTTTATCTGTTAGAGTCATCCATGGCAGACAAAGGCAATCTAATTTCATACAATGGAAATTTCATTAAGTAAAAATAATACATGTTTCCTGTACTGATATAATTATTCTCTTAGCAACATAAACTATTATAAAAATGTACAGCTTCCGTCAAATTTCATAGGTGACATTATATTTGTTACTAATAAACATTTTATCACTTGGCCTTTTATTATCACTTGGCATGATTTAGCATATACCTCGAATGGAAATTTACACATTTATAAATATTCAGGTAATCAATTTTTATTTTTGAATCGGTAAATTAAAGCACAGAATTAACATATTACTAGATTATTTAACTTACCTGTAACAAACCTGTCAGAAAAATACCTTAAACAGTGTTAATGATATTCTCATAACTTAACCAAAAGTCATCTCTACAACATTTACACAAAATTGATTTAAATCAATTCTTCAAAATTACATAAATTATTCCGTTGGAATAATGGTAATGTTCGGTGTTGTTCATTACAGTGTGTATCTGTGTGGTTGTTTGTGTATTTATGTGCCAAATCTATCAACATTATCAACCTCTACAAACTGACACCAATAATTGTACCAACCTCTGTAAACTGACACCAATAATTGTACCAACCTCTGTAAACTGACACCAATAATTGTACCATCCTCTGTAAACTGACACCAATAATTGTACCAACCTCTGTAAACTGACACCAATAATTGTACCAACCTCTGTAAACTGACATCAATAATTGTACCAACCTCTACAAACTGACACCAATAATTGTACCAACCTCTACAAACTGACACCAATAATTGTACCAACCTCTACAAACTGACACCAATAATTGTACCAACCTCTGTAAACTGACACCAATAATTGTACCAACCTCTACAAACTGACATCAATAATTGTACCAACCTGAGTAAACTGTTGCCAATAATTGTACCAACTTGTGTAAACTGTTGCCTTTAACTGATTCATCCTCTGCAAACTGATACATATTATTTTTGTATCAACCTGTGTAAATTGACAATTATAATTGTACCAACCTGTACAATCTCTACTGATTCAACACTCAAAATATATGTGTTAACTGAACCTGAACAAAACCAGCCTGTATTAACTGACACCCAGGAACAAAACCAGCCTGTGTTAACTGACAAACATGAACAAAACCAGCCTGTGTTAAGTGTTAACTGACACCCAGTAACAAAACCAGCCTGTGTTACCTTTAATGGATTTCATAAGCCAGCCCTTGTTAACTGACACCCATGAACAAAACTCTGCAAACTGAACTGACACCCATGAATTTTTGTATCAACCTGTGTAAATTGACAATTATAATTGTACCAACCTGTGTAATCAGACGTTCATAATTGTATCAATCTCTACAGTGTATTCCAACACTCAAAATCATAACCAGCCTGTGTTAACTGACACCCATGAACAAAACCAGCCTGTGTTAACTGACACCCATGAACAAAACCAGCCTGTGTTAACTGACACCCATGAACAAAACCAGCCTGTGTTAACTGACAAACATGAACAAAACCAGCTTGTGTTAAATGACAAACATGAACAAAACCAGCCTGTGTTAAGTGTTAACTGACACCCAGTAACAAAACCAGCCTGTGTTAACTGACACCCATGAACAAAACCAGCCTGTGTTAACTGACACCCAGTAACAAAACCAACCTGTGTTAACTGACACCCATGAACAAAACCAGCCTCTGTTAACTGACACCCAGTAACAAAACCAACCTGTGTTAACTGACACCCATGAACAAAACCAGCCTGTGTTAACTGACACCCAGTAACAAAACCAACCTGTGTTAACTGACACCCATGAACAAAACCAGCCTGTGTTAACTGACACCCAGTAACAAAACCAACCTGTGTTAACTGACACCCATGAACAAAACCAGCCTGTGTTAACTGATACCTATTAACAAAACCAACCTGAGTAAACTGAAAACCTTTAAACGTGATCAACTAGTTCCAGATCATCAACTACCTGTACAACCTCCCACCGATAAACATTATAATGTGACTGATTTTTAATCCCATTTCTGACTGATCTAGAAGTTCTTGTGCAGTTAAGCTCAAGTGCAATAACAACTTGGAAAATGGTGATCCCCTGAACGAGGGGTTAATTATTGATTCTATAAACCTGCTTACAGTCTGTTCATCCTCAACTTAATTAGCATCATCCATGATATCCATTTTTATCCAATCAAATTACAGCAAAATTGCAAGGCAAATCATTATAAACAAACATTATCGATGACACAAAGCCAGCTGCTGCTGCAGCAAAAATGCTGTTTAATACTATTAATGAAAAGGATCTTGTGAGCATTTTGAAACAAAAAGAATAATAAAACACACAGCGAGCAACAAAGCTGATGCTGCTGGCGTAACAGTGTCATATGATAGATGATTGACTCTTGTTTACCCCCAGAAAAGTGATATTTATCTCAGCTTTTGGCTTCTGTGAATATCACTTTTCTCAGGTAGATAAATCCTTGGGTTAACCTTATCTGAAGTCAATAATTGTCTAATATCAACCTTTACAACCTGACATCCATAATGTAAATGACAGTGTGATATATTGTTATCAGCACTTCAATCCTAAAACCCTAAACCTGCACAAACACATCAACCTGAACAGGAAGGTATCATGTTCTTGATTAATAGTGAAAACTAGCTGTGTGAATCCTCATCGATGATTTTTATATCATTCCCTTGATACCACAACATCAAAATATAAAAAGGGGCAACTCTCACAGATAGAAGACAGAAAGGGATAATTATCTTTGATAACAGTGTCCTGTTCCTCATCAACAGCAGACTGAGATTGCGACATTGAAAATCTTGTATAGTTTAATGCGCTCAACACTTTATAACAGGACAATGCACAGAATTATAGTTCCCTACCAATTGAGAAATAAATATACTGCAAGTGAGCCAATGCCTTAAGTATGAAGTTCAATTGACTAGTATTGTAGGACATACAGCCCAGTCAAACATTTTCTATGATGTAGATCAAAGGTCAAAATGTAGGTCAATGTCCTATTTTTGATACACAACTTTCCTTCTGCAAGGGGAACCCATACCCAAAATATGAAGTTCCAGTGACAAGACAGAAGGAAAGACAGAAGGAAAGACAGAAGGAAAGACAGAAGGAAAGAAAGATGGAAGGACACAACAAAAAAAACTAAAGCTCCACCCAAGCTCCTGCCCACCCATCCCCGACCCCATCCACCTCCGACCTCACCCATCCCCAACATTATCCATCCCCAACCCTACACTACTACAACTAGCATTTATTACAGCATGGTTTACTGACATGCAAAATGAACCTTTTATCTTCAGACAAAACCGTGGGGATAGAATTCACAAATTCAATCAGTTGAAAGCTTCTAGTATATCTGTATCTATTCTGTACTGCTGTGAAAAATTACTAGATACTTTAAGTTTCACTTTTTTATTTGAAATCAGATTGAATACTGGTATAATCAGATCAGTTGATAAGGAGATCTGTTTCTACACACTGTCCACATAGTCTGATTACCTGGAAGTCATGATCTTACAACATTAAAACCTGATAAATCAGGAGATGCTACTCCAGTTGGAAAGATTATAACCCAGACAGATCATAACCCCAGACAGATCATAACTAGACAGATCATAACTAGACAGATCATAACCCAGGCAGATCATAACCCAGACAGATTATAACCCACACAGATCATAACCCAGGCAGATCATAACCCAGGCAGTTCATAACCCAGGCAGATCATAACCAGACAGATCATAACCCAGGCAGATCATAACCCACACAGATCATAACCCAGGCAGATCATAACCCAGACAGATCATAACCCAGGCAGATCATAACCCACGCAGATCATAACCCAGGCAGATCATAACCAGACAGATCATAATTAGACAGATCATAACCAGACAGATCATAACCCAGGCAGATCATAACTAGACAGATCATAACCCAGGCAGATCATAACCCACACAGATCATAACCCAGGCAGATCATAACCCAGGCAGATCATAACCCAGACAGATCATAACCCAGGCAGATCATAACCCAGGCAGATCATAACCAGATCATAACCCAGGCAGATCATAACCAGATCATAACCCAGGCAGATCATAACCCAGACAGTTCATAACCCAGGCAGATCATAACCCAGACAGATCATAACCCAGACAGATCATAACTGGACAGATCATAACCCAGACAGATCATAACCCCAGACAGATCATAACCCAGGCAGATCATAACCCAGACAGATCATAACCCCAGACAGATCATAACCCAGACAGATCATAACCCCAGACAGATCATAACCCAGGCAGATCATAACCCAGACAGATCATAACCCAGACAGATCATAACCCAGACAGATCATAACCCAGACAGATCATAACCCAGGCAGATCATAACCAAGGCAGATCATAACTGGACAGATCATAACCCAGACAGATCATAACCCAGGCAGATCATAACCCAGACAGATCATAACTGGACAGATCATAACCCAGGCAGATCATAACCCAGACAGATCATAACCCAGGCAGATCATAACTGGACAGATTATACAAGGTTTTGTTACATCTGTATAAGACATGTAAGATATATTTCTGAAATACATCGCCTTTGAGGGAAGAGTGAACTAGACATTATGCTAGGAATGAAGTACCCTTACAGTATTCAATGGCTATTATGTACAATCATAA